AAGAGAGGGCCGGAGCGGTCAACTGATCACCACCTGGTAGTGAGCTGGATCCGATGGCGGGGGAGGAAGCTGGACAGACTCTGCAGACCCAAACGTATTGTGAGGGTCTGTTGGGAACGTTTAGCAGAATCCCCTGTCAGAGAGATCTTCAACTCCCGCCTCCAGCAGAGCTTAGACCAGATCCCGGGAGAGGCTGGAGATACTGAGTCCGAGTGGACCGTATTCTCCACCTCCATTGTCAATGCGGCCGTTCGGAGCTGTGGCCGTAAGGTCTCACACATACAAGCCAAACTGACGGTCCAAAACACAGCACAGCAATTAACTTAGTAAAACATCGTCAGATAACACACCAGCATAAGTCAGCAACACTAACACATAACAACAACGGGGTAACACATAAGAACACTTTAACTATAATTTTATAACTGCTCTCTCTACTATTTACTGAACTCCCATGATGCACCTCTGCATCATGCAGCTGCCACCAGACCCCCCAATGGCTGACGTAGATCGTCACAATATGATAGAGATTGTGCCATTCTGTATAATGAGTACCATTACTTTTAGTACTTTTACTTAACACATTGAGTGCAGGACTTTAAGTTGCAACAGTATTTTTACACTATAATATTGTCACTTCTGCTTAAGTATGGGCTCAGAGTACTTCTTCCACCACTGAACTCTAACCAACCGCAGCTAATACTCCAGCTACCCATCTTTTTTGTTTTGCTCAGTTATCTTTCTCGGTGTTGCAGTGACAGAGTGAGAACTGCTGGTAAACTGACAACACTGTGGTAGAATGAAAGCAATCCTTCTGTTGTTTCTGTGCTCAAAAGCTTTTTAAACCAGCTCGGGTTACAGAGGAGGAGACATTTTGACATCTGATCATCCTATCAACTTTCGGTTTGGCGAGAAACAACAGATTCCTTGCCTACGTGCATTAGTGTGGTCACAGCCTACATACATTTACCTACATAAAAATCAATGCCATGTAGTTTTCTGGTTCCATCTAATAGTGTTCAAATATAACCGTTTTAATTTTATACCAGTAACTGGTAACCAGTTTTTTCAAATAAAAAATAAAAAAAGGAGCTACACATTTGTTCTTTAACCCCAAGTTTCAAGCAGTAATTTTAGTAAAATTTGATATGTTGTTCATGTTTATAGACTATTATTTTTATTAGTGATATTATTAAGTGTTCTTAATCACTCGGCTTAATGGTGGATTGTTAGTAATGGTAGTTGTATTTACACTAAAACACAGCACCCTTAGGTGTGTTCCCAGCTATCTGATGACTGTAAAGCAGCTAAACCAGTATGGTGACATTGAATCATTAGCATTTTTTGTTGGTGTACAAGTTCCCTGACTTGCTCTTCCACTCAAATTTGTTTGTTAGACTGAGAGACTGCAGCAAAGGTCCGTCTTTGGTTCTCTGTGTGACAGCTACAATGGCCTCTTACACTGCTTACAGTGGCTACACCAAGCCACCTGTATCCTACGGGGCCTCTTACTATGATGACCAGCAGGCCAGGACCTATACCAATTATCAAGACTCGATATATGAAGAAAAAAAGAGAATTGAAAAGAAGAAACGTCAAAATGCTATGTGTTGTGAGGTAGTGGCACTCGTCATTGGTTTTATTGGATTAATTGGAGTGGCAACCGTGACAGGCCTGCCAATGTGGAAGGTAACAGCCTTCATCCAGGAGAATATCATTGTCATGGAGACCCGCTGGGAGGGTCTGTGGATGAACTGCTACAGACAAGCCAACATCAGGATGCAATGTAAGGTGTATGACTCCCTGCTGTTTCTGCCCCCGGACCTCCAGGCTGCCAGGGGTCTAATGTGCAGCTCAGTGGCCTTGACTGCCATAGCCGTCATTGTTGCAGCTGTGGGGATGAAGTGTACCGTGGTGGTGGACCATCGGCCTCGCACCAAGCATATTGTTCTAGTGGCTGGAGGCTGCCTATTCCTCTTGGGCTGCTTAACGACCTTAATTCCCGTGTCCTGGACTGCCCATGTCATCATCCAAGATTTCTACAACCCTCTGCTGATCGATGCCCAGCGCAGGGAGCTTGGGGAAGCTCTGTACATTGGCTGGATGACTTCAGGTTTGCTTTTTGTAGCTGGAGTGATCCTTCTGTGCCGTCACGCTCCCCGAGCTCAGGAACCAGAAGAGAGGATTGTGTACAACCCTGCGACAAACATCTACCAGCCTGCGTACACATACCAGCCATACGGATACCAGCCAGCCTACACCACGCAGCCTAATTACTCTGTACCCCCACCAGGATCTGTAGTATATGCACCAAGTCAGTACCAGTGAAAGAAAAAAAATCTAACACCGAGGTGGACTACTAAAATAACTTTGAAAAATATGACAGTTGTCAGTGGAAATGATGAACTCTCTCATTACTTTCCTGAAGAAAATACGTGGAACTGATTGTGTTTTGATCATGAACTATGCTGAATTTCTGTATAATTTGTTTCTATATGCTTACTATACTTTTATATCAGTCATTCAGAGTATTTTTAATTTGACATAACTGTCTGTACAGCCTCTGCTAACATGCTCTTTGAGAATAAATTATGCACTAGGCCTTTTATTTATAATATCCAGACGATTTATGTTCACTGCTTAGTTTTGGCTGTAATATGTACATACGTCTTCAAAATGCCGGCCTAAAGATAAGGTTGTGTGGTTTTTAATAAAGAGATGAACCTGAGGCAAAGAGAGAATTCTGTTTTTATTTTGGTTGCCTAATTAGAAAGACAAATCTGATAAAGACAAGGCAAACTATGGCTTTTATGATGGCCAGTGTCTGTTGTTTACCTGAGATTCAAAAATTCCCATTGAAATGTTTTTCTCATTGTTGCCAGTGGAAATGTGCCTTAACTGGTAAAACCAGACTGTTTGCGCAGGTCCACCCACAATGCAAACCAGAGAGCTTTTTCCTAAACACAGACACTGAGATCTAGACAAGAAATCTAATACCAACAGTGACATGTATGCAAGTACTACAACACACACAGAATGATGTAGTATAAGAGATTTTAAATGCTCTTGTTGTTAATATTTTGTGTCTACAGTCTTATTACATTTTTAGTAGTGCCTCCTGTAACATAAGGGATTCCACAATGACAAATGATTTCAAGTTCAAGCAGGACAATTAGGCCCCAGACCTAATTTCTCTATATGCAGGTGTTAGGTATTTTTAGTCAGATAGATATTGTTTAGATACTTTATGTATTAGAAATGTTTAGTGGAGATAGGATGTCTAGTTAGACTGTTAAATGCTTAGTCATGCTTATGAGTTTCTACAGAGTACATCTGGTCAAGGATAACTAGAGAGAAGAGTTGATGACTGTCAGCAGACAGGGTGTTTAATATTATTATTATGACGTGTATAACTGTAGCCTTAGCCATAATATGTTCTTATGTTTAAGTCACGACATGTACTAGAAGTCGTGAGAATGTTTTTAGT